GAGAGAAGCAGCTGCCGGGTGTGAGCCGAGTTCCCCGGTATTGACTGTAGGGCCCGACTGTCACCTACTTATCCCGTCGTGTGGAGGGGTTCCGGGCCCTGCCCCTGCGGACACTGGGTCAGGGGGTCAGTTCCTGGGGAGGGGTCGGGTCACAGGGTGGCACGGGGCTGGGACACTCACCGGAGGGTTACAAGTCCCAGGCTGGATCTGGAGCTTCCTTCATTGCATGAGAAGGAGAATGGAACCTCTGCTGCTTTTCCTTGCGTGCGGGTTCTCCAGGTTGGGGATAATTGATGGCCGGAAGGGTGAGCGCTCAGCACATGGTGATGTCCCATCGCAGACAGGTGTCCCCTTTACACCCCGGACAGACACCGCGCTCAGCTCGGCGCACATTGGAAGGCCCACGCTGAGCCAGCCGGGGTAGCGCGCGTGCAGCCCTGCACATCTAACGGCATCACAGACCTGTTAATGTTCATTGTACAAAGGGCAAGGACTTAGCGGGAGTTGGGAATAATTGCAACCGGGATGCCCATCGATTGGGGGGCCCGCGTCTCTTAGGGGTGCTGTGTGATGCATTGGGGGTTTAAACTCCCCTCCTGGTCTGAAGGTGCCACCCAGTGCCCCTGGCAATGCTGCGGGGTTCCCATTTGAGCAGGGGCCGCATAGCAGGAGGCTAAATAGGCTGGTTGCCTGCCCCTCCGGCCTTCCATGGCCTTTGACTGGGGTCGATCGCGTTCCGGTCTGCTTGGGCGCAGCGCCCCCTGTTGGGGAGACACAAAGCTGCAATTGCTGCTGCTTCGGAAAAGGGGCATTTAGCGCTGCGCGGAGGTGGGAATGAGCAGCCCGGGTGGGAGGGGAAATTCCTGAGCTTGTCCCCAGCCCTTGTTCCTCCCAGCGCAGCAACAGCTCCCAGACCCGCCCTGGTGCGGCGCTCCCCGTTATTGCGTGTTGGAGGGAGTCTTGTGAGACAAAATATTCCTTTGGGATCTAGATTGTGAACGTGACTCTGGGGATTTGTGTCAATCCAGGGAAAACCTCCCTCTGCCCCCGCCCCTGTTCTCTGTCTGTCCCCTTGTCCGGGTGTCTGTCCCCGCTGCCATCTGGCCAGGTCGCAGCGCAGAGCCGGCCCTCCCGGGCAGCACAGGAAGCAGATTTAGCGGCCCCTGCCGGAGCTCGGAGGAGATGCTCGGTCCATAGAACGCTCCCCAGGCAAACCCCGCTCGGTGTCTCGGGGCGCGCAGGCGCCTTTCCCCGCTCGGTCTGAATTCACAGCGCGGCCCCAGGCCTCGCCCGGGATGGGAACGGCCCAGCTGCTGACAGTGACTCCAGCGGGAAGGGCTCTCCTGGCTTATTTCTAGCCCATCTTCAGCGCTGCGTCACCCTGGCCACCTGCCAGCACAGACCGTGCAAGTAACGTCCCCAGAGAAGAACCGAGCTGTATCGAGACTCACGCTGGGTCTGGGGCTCACTGGCCGGCAGCAGAGCAGCCCCGGGGGGCGGTGTCCGTGCTTCCTTTGCTCTTTATGAAATCTGGACTCAGGAACCTTCCTTCTCTGTCCCTGCCTCTCTCTGTGCCGGAGGGAAATGAGCTGTCAAACGCCCTGAATGGCTGCACAGAAACCGCGTCCCCTTTTTGTACGGGCCCTGCTGCGCTCGGTGTCACTGTGTGCGTGTGTGGTGCAGTAATAGGTGGCGGTGTCCGCAGCTGTCAGCGAGCGGAGCTGCAGCGAGAACTGGTTCTTGGAAGAGTCAAGGGAGTTGGTGACCCGGCTCTGGAAGGATGGGCTGTAGTCTGTGTTCCACTTGGAACTGCTGTAATATCCCGACACCAGCCACTCCAGCCCTGTCCCAGGGGGCTGCCGGATCCAGTTCCAACCGTAACCGCTAGTGATGGTGTAACCCGAGACAGCGCAGGTCAGGGTGAGGGTCTCTCCGGGCTTCACAGCGCCTGGCCCGGACTGGACCAGCTGGATTTGGGACCGGACACCTGCACAGACACGAACCGTTACAGTTAAATCCTCAGCTCGCTCCCTAGGGCTTTGATCATCCCCCGGGTTTCCCCTCCCGACTCACAGGGCGAGAGGGCGAGTAACAGCAGCAGCGACACCGCGGGGTCCATCCTGGGAAACGGAGCAACGAGAAGGAGGAAAAACTGAAACTCGCTTCAGCCCCTGGGCAGGCGGGTCCCGGGGAACCCAGGGGCTGCGATTTAACCCGGGCCCTGGCGGGAGATTTGCATAAAGTCCGACACCCCGGTACCGCCCTAGGAAAGGGGCGGGGAGCGCAGGAGTCTTAGCGCTTCTGCTCCGCTGCGGCCTCGTGGCTGGGTCACAGGGCAGGGAAATGAACAAGCGACCAGCGACCGCTGCGGGCTCCGGCCCTTTTCTTTTCTTTTCTTTTCTTTTCTTTTCTTTTCTTTTCTTTTCTTTTCTTTTCTTTTTCAGCGTGAGGAGCGGCGAGCACTCAGGCGGAGGGGAGGTTTGGCCCCGGTTGCTTTCATTCCCAGACGGGCTTTCATCACAACATTTAAGCAAAATGTAACATGAATTATTACTAGAATGAGGGAAATGAGAGAACAAAGTCTCAGCTTCGAGCCAGGCCCCCAGTCCCGACAACTGGGTGTGAAACTCTTCCCGGCACGGCTGGACTCTACAGAACAGAATTATTAATTTAACCCTGACTAGTCTTCTCTGAACGTGTGAGCCCAGGCGTCCGAGTGCGCTGGGTCCTGCCGAGTCACAGAATGAACATGGGCAGTCGGTGCCCGGACAGAATCTCCGGGCAGGAATTGGAACCCAGTAGGTGTGTGCAGGCCTGTGTGATTGTAAATGAAACCCCTTTCGGTGCGGAGTGGGGCTAATTGTATGGCGGGGAGAGGGGAGGGGAAAGAATCCGTTTCATGGAACTGTTAAATATTTCTCCTCCTTATTATTATTTTCAATACCGAGTACGTACAGGCAGCTCTACAGATACAAACACCAACTATGTAATGGAGACGCTGAGCAATATAGAAAACCAAGCT